GAAAATTTAGGAATTCAAGAAGATATCCAATGAACAGGAAGAGAATTGAATGATGAAATGATTGAAAGGATCTGAAAACTGAAATGATATATTTAATGGAATTCATAAATAGGAATGATTAAGTGTTTCAGTTTAACTTATTTTCTAATTGAAAATAGCTAATCAAACGAAGTGATCTGAGAGTAATTTGTTAATTAATGATATTATGAAAAGAAATAAGGATAATAAAATAGAGAGCTAATTAGTGAATATAATTAATGATTACTGAATCTTATAATTATTAATAAAATTAGAATATTAATTTCATAAAAATGATAGCTTCCTCTTTGACTTCCTGCGATTTTCAATTTTCCATTCTATTAGAATGATCATATCAATTCAATGCTTTTTGTCTGTCCGCATGTTTCATTCTATTCCACTTATCATTCTTATGGCATTCTTAAAATCTCATAAAATACAGCTTAAATCGTCAAATGACTGCTGACATTGATTTTGATAGAATTTATCAAATTGATTTTAATCACTATTTCTTATCAAATTTTTGATTAAAATTTATCAGTGACCGTTTATTTTCATTTGTTTAAATGAGACTAATATTGTTAGTGTTTAAGTTTACACGTAAAATTCACTACTTACGTTAAAATCTGTAAATGTAATGGATATGGAATACAATTCCGTTACAACAATTATTACAAGTTCTATTTCCTCATATCATAAAAGTATCTATTTTACAGATATTCGACCATATGATCGCATTTCATTACTTATTAATACTTATTAACAATTAGATCTTTCCATAATCAAATTTTGCAATATTTTTTAAAATTTACAATTTGATTGTATTATTACAATTCATTACAACCATTTTTCATACATTTGAAAGTAACAATCAAATAAAATAATGAATGGAAAATTTAATGGTTAAAGATTTCTTTTTGAAAGTTAATCGTTTTGGAAGTAATTTAAGTAATTTGCAAGAAAAGACAAATAAGAAATACTAAACAAAGAAATGATTAATATAAAATAGTCAAGTTTGAGGGAATAGAAAGTTCAACAGTTAAAGGTCAAGGAATAATTCTATATCATATGTGTCATCTCCTATTTAATTAATCATTATTCATTTCCTAAAATGTCTCATTTGAAATTTTCATAAATAATGGGTGAATATGAAAAAAAAAGACAAATTTAGGTTAAATTTTGTGCGGAAAAAAAATAAAAGCAAAAAGTAAGGGTAAATGGGTTAAAATTATGGGATATATTGCTTTAACTTGGGAACTTCTTGAAATTTAAAAAAAAAAGAAAACTTTCTATTTTGCTAGTGACAAATATAAACAAATACTTTCAGTAATTAATTACTTTATAATAAGATCAAATGAAATTTAATTACTTTATTTTTCAGTAATTAATTCTTTATAATAAGATCAAATGAAATTATCTTTATCACCAATAATGATCACAAGAAAATGTACGATTCCAGACATTTGAAAAGAACAGCAATGCAAATTATGATTAGCCAACTTTTTCGCAACCATTTTTTGGTTTAAGTCTTCATGTTCAGGTGATGTGTGAAAAATAGATACCATTTTGCGCCGCGCATTTAATCCAATAGATACAATTCTAAATATGTGATCATTTATTATACCTTCAGAACCAGTTAACAGTATTCCATATAGATGTTTCCTGACAACGAATGGATAACATACTGAAAGATATCATTTCATAAGGTAGAGGATGAAGTGGGTAATTGCTGTATAAGTTCAAGGGTCATTGTCTTTGCTAAGATTAAGTTCAAGTTTAGCTTTAAATATAAGCAAACCATAATACACATAGTCTTATGGTTTAGGTCAGGTTATTGGTTGTATTTTGTTAGTTTCAGTTTGCAAATATCTTTTAAGTAAAAATCTTGAACTTACCAAAAGTAAATAAATTCGATTTCAATCGTAAATGTAAAAATCAAAATTGATTTTTTCTATTCGTTAGTTGTATTAAATCGGAATTAACATGAGAGAGCTAATACTTTTAACAAGAACAAAATGATTAGACTACTTAGAATTAAAGTATTCAACAGAAAGATTTGACGACAGGTTGACCAAACATTTGGAACTGTTGTTGTTTCACATATTATTGTGTGTAATTATTTCATAATTAAGTTTTAATTATTTCCTAATTTGTTTGAGTGATAAAATTTACTGATACATTCAAGATTTTAATGATAAATCAAGTAGTGGCTAAAAAATATGCAAGTAAAGTAATTGATAAGCAAATTTCGGACATATGCGTTTGCATTCTTTCTACAAAAAATTTCTTAAAATATTTCTATGAATAAGTACCATTTGCATTTTTTTTTTTTAGATTTCATTATCTTTCTATTTTTGTATTTTACCAAAAATTTTCCGGAAAAAAAAAGAAAGAAAAAAATGGTAGGTGTCATTTATGCGAATTATAAATTAATTAATTCCATGAATTAATTCAAATTATTGTATTATAAAGTTGTGTAACCAACCAATTCGTTCGTATGGGAATTATTGTTAAATTTTAGCAAATGAATTGAAGAAGTATATTAATTTCATTATATTTCAATCAAAAAAACAATATAATAACAAAATAAAATCATTTCATAACTATATTTGATAAATCAATTCTAATTAAATCAATAATTTTATTGAAAAATGTTTAATTTCATTGATTTTTTCGAACTTATATTATAATTATTATTAAAATTAAATTAAATCATCACTTTTTTTTTGCTTCCTTATTTTCCAATTTATTACAAATATGAAATTCAAAAAAAAAATAAAAATAAAACAAAACTGTATTATATTTTATGAATATTAACAATGCATGGTAAATTGGAATTGATTTATCATTTTCACGGTTTTTGTTTTTTTTTTTTTTTGTTTTTTATTATCATTCCTCTGATATTCATTCATTTCCTTGTACTTCTTCTTACTGTAACCGTACTTCCTTTCGTGTACTGTACAACTAATTTTTTTATCGTATTTTTATAAACACATAAAGCATATATATATACCGTATTCAAAGTATTATTTTTTTTTAACAATAAAATAATAGTCGTATACTAAAATGAGACATAAAAAGAGATTGATTAATATGCCAATAAAATGGCGCAAAAAAAAAATGAAATTTTAAATTTATTAAAAAAAAATCAATAAACATTTTATTTTGATAAAAAAAATGATGCATGAATGATTTTTAAATATCATCTATTATATCATTTTTCATTTGATGAACATTTATGGCTTCTCATATACCGTATATTTCAATTATATTTTTCCATTTCATTGTACTTAATAGCTTTAATTATACTTATTATAACAAGGTATGAAATAAATATGTTAAATGATCACCTATGTTATTTCCGCTTTTTTTTTCTTTTCGTTCAAATTATCCAAAATCACCAAAATGATGATAACTGTGAAACACTGATTGTTTATCACTTTGCATTCCCATTGATCGACTACTATGTTTACGATTGTTTGCAGGTTTCGATATATCAGTGGTCGTTGGTTCAACCTAGAAATATCACAAGCATATAGAGAAATTATAAAATTGATTAATTTGTAATTTAAACTGTAAAATTATTCTATAAAAAATTTATTATTTATGAATAAATTTCAAAACATCAATAATCGATTATTAAATAAACAATGCAATTAATTAATTGGATAAAAAAAAAATTTGTCGAGTATAAAATATTTGATTGAAAATGCTTACATTACATTAAGATTAATGAGAGAATTGGCAGAAAAAAAAAAGGGAAACCAATGGAAATTAATTAAGACTACATTTTTTACTTATCACTGTATCAGTATTTATTAATAAAGTATTATCAATGGTATATAAAACTGATTAAACGATTCTTATCACTATATAAGTATTAATTCGTAAAGTGTGTTTATATACTGATAGCGAAATTCAAATCATTGAAAAAATTCATTCTACTTTAATTTCTTATCTGAAATGATTAATTCATTCCGAATAGAATCATTAGTTTTCAGAAATGACTATTTACTCAAAAAATGGACCAATATGTTAATTAATTAATTGGCCAATCAATATGGAAATATCTTGGATAATTATTGCATGCAAACTAATTACTACTTCTTATTATTAGTTTATTTTCTAGCAAATTTCACTTTTATCAAGTTTAAATTTTAAAAATACAAACTTCTTGTGAAAAGCCCCGTAACATCAGGTTCCGTTCCCATTTTCCTTCCGGTACTGATAGTAATTCTTGTGAATTGGATGGTGTTTCATGGGAATTTGATATACGTCCATATGACCATTGTACCTTTAAATGATGAATTAATTGGAGTAAATTATCGAAATAATTGCATTTATTTGTTTCACATTCTTCGTTCATCAATTGATACGGTTCATATCATCCGTTTATCAGTTAATCAGCAAGTATCATAGTAAAAATATTGTTAAGACAAAAAAAAAAACCATTTTATACATATATTTTTTTTAAAAATAAAAACAAAAAAAAGGAAAGAATTGACAATTTTCGATAACTAAGAATACTATGCATGTATAATCAAATTTCACATATATCACAAATTTTACTTATCTTATCAGATGATGTCATTTTTAATGATTTTGTTAACATTGGAAGTGATAAAGATGAAACGAAAATGATAAACCTATCTGCTTGTATGTCTATATGTATAATAAAAATATCATCATTAGTAATTAATTATAATTGAATAAGTAAAATAACCTGATAAAGTGATATATAACCACAATTTCGTACCCTTAATCGTTCCACCATATTTAATGCTTGTAAACGATTTGATGGATTTAATATATTGCCAAATTCACAAAATAAAACATATGCAAATGGACGAAAATTTTTTTTTCTTAAATTTAATCATTATGAAAATTACAAATTCTGCTTATCATATCATCAGAAGATATCATTTTTTAGTAATTTTAATTAGCCATAAATATTCAAAAGAAGAAAATCATTAAAATCTGACATTTAAATTATTGTAAGTAAAAATAAAAAAAAAAGTCCGCCAAATTTTATGTTATAGTGTTTTTTTTTTGAAGAAATTGTTCTGTTGAATTAAATTTAAATTAATTTAAACAAATTCTAAAATGAAAAATTGATAATTGATAATTGATACTTTGATGTTGGCATTTTATGCAATACAATTCGTCGCAAATTCCAACTTCTTGGTGAATATTTGTAAATTTCTCTTGCACCTGACCAACTTAACCATGATTTTTCAAGATTTTCATGCTAAAAAAAGTTCTTGCATGCTAATGAAAATTTTATTTTAATGCAAATAATTAAGCTTAATTACGCAGTAGAAAGTAACGAATTATGAATCATACTAATGTCTATAATGAATGATTGGATAAATAATTAATTATAGAAAATAGTAATAGATAGTGTTACAAATACTATTTATTAGTAATTAGTAACAATAACCATAGCATATTCGTATGAGTAATTTCTTTTTATTTAAATTTAAAAAAAAAAATTAATGTTTGAACAAAGTAAATAAAATTTGATATGAAAATTTTGCACCAATATTTCTAATTAATTATTGGAGTAAATTATGATATTAACAGTAACATATTATTTAAACATTTCATATAAGCAAGTTTATTTATTATTCAAATCAAGAAAATATTTGCTTTTGCAAAAAAGTTGCATTAAATAATTTAATAATTAATTTGTAACTCTTTGCCATTTTCTATTTTATGCTAAAATATTTATTGTTTTAACCCTAAAAATTACATCTAAATTTGTTTCACTTTAAAATTAGTCTATTTTTTTTTTAATAAAATTATAAATTTATAAGAGAAAACAAAAAAAAAAGAAAGCGTAGGTGCAATTACCCTAGTTTGTTCATCAAGAAGTTTGAATAATATAATAATATAACCAGCATGTCGATGTGATGGTAATTTGTAACCAGCAAGTGATGAAGTCTTTTGAATTGCATAAGTTTCATCATATGCACCTAAATGTTTTTAATAAAATTAAAATAATTTCCAAAAGTTTTTTTTTTCACTTAAAAATTTTTTTTTTTTTTTCATTGAAATAAAAGAAGAATATGACAGAAAAAAAAAATTTTTTCTTCTCTTAATTTTAGCAAAAACAAAAAAAAAAATTCCATTATTTCATTGCTATTTTTTCGTTTTTCAATTTCTCAATTTTTTTTTTCCAATGCTTGCGTTTAATGTTTATTTCAAATGTAATTTATCAAAACAAAATTTTCAAATTAAATTTTCCTCTCAAAAAAAGAAGAAAAAGAAAGGATGAAATAATATAAATTGCATAATTCGTATAGTTTGATAAAATTATTATTCAAGAAAATTTTGTCAAAAAAAAAAGAAATTAAATATACCAAATTGTGTTTTAGGTTGATTATGTAATTCATGGATTGCATGATCAATTTGAGCAATCCGCATATCATGATCAGGATTTTTGAATAATGCATAATGCAAATACAAATATAATGCTGCAATAAAATATTTGAATAGCTAAAGTAAAAATGAATTGAAATATGATAAGAAATGATTATGAGTTATCACTTATCATATACCTTATGATAATGTAGTAAATATGTTTAAATTTTGATTGAGTAATTAATACTTTCATTTCTCATTAACTTACGTTTTGAATCAATACATTTCAATAAAATTCCATCTGAAAAATATGGATTACTACGAATGATGTTGCATTCGGCAATAGCTCGATTTAACAATGATTCTGTGGTTGATGGACCAATTCTAAAATTGATAAATTATTAAATTGAATGGAATGAAAATGATTGATAATAAATTTTATCATATTCATTTTATCAATTTGGCTAATTAGTTTAATTATTGTGCCTGATCAAATTCAGACAAAAATTATATTCAAATTGTTAAATTATATTATTTATAAAAAATATCATAGTTTTTGTTTTTGTATTTGATATTTTGTATTGCATAATATGGCTAAAAAATTTTTTAACTTTTACTTAATTCTTTTGTGCTACTTTAAACAAGCATTATAATGATGAACTAATGAATGAAAAATATTTTGAAATTCAATGATATCATCATATCAATTATCATCATATCATTATCAATGATATCATCATATCAATTATCTCCTTCTCTTCTTTTTTTTTTTTACATTTGATATTATAAAAGAAAGAAAGAAAGAAAAGGAGCATAATTAAAAACGAAAATGAAAATAATTTGTTACAATAGCGTTACTGAATTCCAAAATTAAAAAAAAAAAAGGAGATGGAATAATTAATATAAAGTTTTTGACTTTCAAAATTAAGGAAAAAAAACTGAAAATGACTCAAAAAGAGAAAGAAAAACTTGATATAATAAATTAAATAATTGATAAAATGACTTTTTTTTGAGTTCCAAAATATTTGTTTGTATTAATAATAACAGTTTTTCCTTTCAAAATTATCATTTATTACAGCTAAAAATTCAAAAGAAAAAGGTGAAGAAAAAAATTGAAAAAAAAGTGTTGTTTAATAACACAAATACATTTTAAAAATTATAAATACTCTACAAACAATTTACTATTGTTGTAAATTAAAATGTGAAAATTAATTTATTGATTAAATGAGATAAGATAAAATATTTGAAAATTGCAAATAGCCCCCTGCAAATAATCTACTAATATGACATATTAAAATGTTAGAAACAAAGGAAGCGAAAGCTATAAAAGTTTTTTCTTTCTTTTTTTTTTTAATTTCTGAAATGAGCCATCAAAGTTATGAAACATTCTTTAATTCTCAAAATGAGTCATTAAAGTTACGAAACATTTTTTTTAATTCCTGAAATGAGTCATTGGAAGTTATAAACATTTTTATGACAAGTATACTTGTATTATTTGAACCTGAAAAATTTCATAATTAAGGGAATATTTTATTTCGTACCTTTTTTTTCCACCAATACTTCCAATTCTTTTTTTTTTTTATTGGGTCAAAATTTTTGATTGAAACAAAAAAGAAATGAATGAAAAGATGCAAATTTTGTTAAAAATCAATTTCTTTTAAATTTCCTCTTTACGTATAGTTATAATATATAAAATGGCAAAAGTCAATTGAGCAAAAAAAAAATCTTTCTTTTATAATCAAATTAAAATTTCGATTTTTCATTTCCTTTTTCCATACATTAAAAAAAATTGACAAGAAAAGTGCAAAAATATTTTTAATGATCCATTTTTTTTTTCGATCTCATAAATATTTAGCCGATTCATTGAAATTATATTTTATTTTTTTTTCTGTTTTTTTTTTCACAATGATATTTTTTTCCTTTTCTCAATCATTTTTATAACAGTATTGAAAATAGATTAAACAAAAAAAAAAATTAACTTATAATTTTTATTCTATTTTTTTTCAAATTTTAAAATAAAGCATATATTTTGTTCAAAACCAACATTTAATAGATTAAAAATTCAAACAGAATTTAATAGAATATATTTAATAGAATATTAATTAGTATATATTTTGTCTGAGTTATTAAGATTAAAAAAAAAAAGAATGATTGGGCAAAATTGTAGATTGAAATTGCTAAGATGTATATATATAGAATCGTTAATTTTATATGATTTCGGTTAAAAATTTAAATCTTTTTCTCTAAAAATAATTGTTTCATCACATTTAAATGGAAATTTTACCTTTAGGAAAATGTTAATTAATTGCTTAAAATTTATAATTAATTGACTAGAGCTAATTAATTGATTAAAAGTTATTTAATTGCTTTAAAACATTAATTAATTGATTAAAGTTTATAGAAATTTTGGAAAAAAAAATGTAAATCTTTCAACCCTTTCTTCGATAATTAGTTAACAACCTGTTATACTCGTCTGATGTACATTCAACAAATCCAAGAAGAGCCGTTTCATCATTTCGTATTCTCTCACCATTTTCTCCAAGTATTTCAATCATTTCGTCACCTTCCTATATAATACATTTAAATTTGTTAATTTTGAAAATTTAAAAATTTAAAATTTTGAAAAGTTAAGCAACTTATTACTACGAATAAATTTCATAAAATTGAGTCATTTGAATTTTTGTTAAATTAAAATGAATTTTTTATTTTTTCATCGCCTGCAGTAACAGTGATAAATATATTAGCCAAAATTATCATATAATTCTTTATCTTTTGCATTATCTTAGTTTCCAACTTTTCATTTAAAAAATTGACAACAATTTTGTAATTAAAAAAATTAAGAAAATGTAATTAGAAAATAAAAAAATTAAAAAATTGGTAACAATTTAATTAAAAAATTAAAAATTGATAGCAATTTTTCAATGTTAATAAAAAATAGTTAAATGATGAAAAATTTGGAAGATTTAATCATTTCCATGGAATGGCTTTTTAGTTTTAGCTTACCAATATGATAATTAAAAAAAGAAAAAAAAAAGATTACAATCAAATGAACATTTCTGGAAAATCGTATGCTAATTAAGTGCTAACAAATTAAACCGAAAAAATATAAAATTTCCAATTTTTGTTAAATAACAAATGAATATAAAAGGGAAATTTTATCGCATCAATAAAATGAAATGATAGGAATGTTGAAAAGTTTACTTTACTTTACTTTACTTTATTTGATAAGTCTTTATAAAAAATGAATATCCTTTAGGGATGTAATCTATCATGCGAAAATTTCATCCTAAGTATTCTTGTAAATTTCTATAACAACCACTTATCCTTCCAAATTAACAAATCCATCATCATAACATTTCAAAAAATTCTAGCTTACAAAAAGATTTAATATAACTATTTTGGTAAATAATTAGAGAAAAAAACCGAAATATTAATTTAAAATAAGAAATTTAAGCAAATTTATTGAGGAGTCTTATTCCGGAAAAAATTTATGATAAGGTTTTATTCCGGAAATATATTAGTATTTCGCAACAATCATTGATAACCATTTCAAAATGTGAAATTATCATTTCACATAATATATATATATATATATATATTTATCAGAAAGATTTATTAATATCAATATTTGAATTTTGAAAGTCAAATCAATATTTTAAGTTTGAAAGTCAAAGAACAGTTTTTTTTTCCCCCATGAAAAGTTGCAATCACAAATTACATACCAACACAATGCAAAAAGATGTGAAAAAGAGCAAGAAAAAAAAGAGAGGAAAAAATAAATCGTAAAACTTTTCCGGAAAATTGCCAATCAAAAGAAATCGAACTTAAAGCAATTTTTAAAAAGTTCAATATTTTACATCTTTTTCATATAAAATCGAATGTTTTTAATTTTGGAAAATATTGCAATTTTTGGCAAAAGATTCAATACAACAAAGAAAAATAAATAAAATAAAATTTTTATCAAAATTGTGAAAAAAAAGAGTAAAAATGGGGAAGAAAATGATTTGTTTGCACTTTTTTTTTCAAATTATATTATTTTAGATATTTGAGAATTTCAAATTTCTAAAATTTTTTGTTCTAAAATATTCGATCATATTTTTGTCAAATAAACAAATGTCATAAAAATATTCAAATAAAATAATCAAGAAAAAATACCATGAAATTGTAAAATTTTAATTATTTTATTAACATTGCAATCAATCAATTGAATGATATGCTTGACTATTCTACACTGATTAAAGTAAAATGTGTTTTTTTTTCATTTCTAGTAAAATGTCAAACTTTTTAATCTTTTAATTGAAAAATGGATTTTTTTTTTGCCCCTAAAATGAAACCTAAAATGAGATTTCGAATTCGAATACAATGTCAAATAAATAGATATAAGTACATTTCGAAGATTAGATAAAACTTGACTGAAAATGATATTATAGAGAAAATTAGAAATTTCCGCAATAATAGATGTTGGAAATCCGTTCATTTTCCGGACACGTCTAAAATCAGAATTAGGCTTTTGAGTTTCTGGAACAATAAATGTTAGAAATCCGTTTTTTTTTTTCTTGAATACTTATAAAATATCCATATGCTATATTCTTTAGCTCATTAGCATAACTTTATAGCACCGAGAATATTTTACTATTTGCAAAAATCAACTAAAGATAATCTTTCACCCATTTCATGGATGTATTTTAAAATGGTTTAATAAATTTTCAAAACTATTCATATTCCTTTTCAATTCTTGCATTAGCTTATTGTATAGATCTAATAATTACATACCAATTCCTAACAATTATTTCATTTCCTATTATTTGATCCTCAATTTCTGTCTCTATTACATCAATTATTTAATATCTTTATTTGAAATATTTGTGATATATTCATTATCTTATCAAATCAACTTGCAACTCTTTTCTATCACCACTTTTTTTTTGCTAATTATTAAACCTAATTATTATTAATTTATTATTAATTTGCATCTTATCAAATGTTTCCTATTACCACTTTTTTTTTGCTAATTATTAAACTTAATTATTATTAATTTATTATTAATTTGCTAATTATTATTAATTTTTTTGCTAATTATTTTTTTGCTAATTATCAAACAATAAAAATTAACGATAGACAACAACATTAACGTTTTATTCTTTTGTCTCATCTAAAATTTCAAATTTGATTAATTTCAAACTTTCATATTACCGCTTTTTTTGTTAATTATTACCTATCTATGGTCACAAAAGGTAGCAAATTTGTATTTTTGTTTGTTTGTTTTTTTCTCTCGTTTCAAATAAAATTTCAATTTTTGAGTAATAATTCAAATTAATTCCAAATGTATTATATTTAAAAGCAATGAAATGTATGACAGAAAAATATATTATTGTCTATTACTACCAATGCCAATTATTGCAACAAAAGAATGGAAAGTATTTAAAATTTGAATTTAAATTAGAGTTAATAATTATTTTGAAATAAATGAAATGAAGAAAAAAAAGTAGCAAAAATAAAAAGAAGAAAAGAAAAAAAAAAAGAAAAGGGAAAGCTAACCTGAAGTGATATCTTCTTCTCGTTCATTGTTGAATGATTTTTTTTTGTTTTTTT